CGCACACACACACACACACACACACACACACACACACAAACGTGGCTTGCTACTGTTTCTCTGCTGGAGCCTTTCCGATTTTAGAACTGAGAGGAGGATTATCACCAAGACCTGAACCACAGGCCCAGCACTGGGCTTTGTGCACAGGCAGCCACTATCTCCTTTTTGATTCATTAAGATTCATTTCCAGCAGGCTCCGCATGTGAAATGTTGGCACGTCGGTTTGCCTTGGCTGCTGAGGGACTACACAGGCTTATGTGCTGCTTGCATGAGGGCTTCGGCTATTTTTAGGCACCAGTTAATCCATTAACTGCATAATGCTGCCACTGATGACTCACAGAACACAGCAGTCAAATTAAACAATAGTGGAACGGAAGAAAAGCCATCAGTCAACTCGCAGTAAGCACACCATTGTAACATGCTGTAGAGTGAACACACACACACGCACACCCGCACACGTGCACACACACACACACACACACCCCAGGTCAGTCGGGAGAAGGAAATGGCACTGAATATTAAGCAGCTACCAAGGCAGTAAAGGGAAGCAGTCACCCCGGAAGGATCTGAGAAGCGACAGACAACCCTACTAACATAGGGAGCTCAGCAGTTAAGAAAGAAGCAGTCCAAGAAAAGAATCACCCCAGAGGAGTTTACGAATAAAATGTACTACGATTCTTCTGAGCAAAGTTTGTGTACTCTTCCGAAAAGCTGAGGCCTGAGGAGCATGAAGCAGAGGGGTGGGGAGGCTGCTCACATTCAGAACGTTGTTTGCTAGAGGGAAGCTGACCCCCGGGTGGGGCCACCCTGGGTGGGACTGTCCTAGTGGGACACTGCAGGAGAGGCCCATGAGCCTGTCTCTACCTGGGTCCTCACACTGATGTGGGTGCTGGGCCATCAATCTGTCCCTCCAGTTTGGCGCATGCTCAGAAAAACAGCAGGTGTACACCCACATGTAGAAGTAGCTGTATGGGTGCTCCCGGGCCATCATGGTACACGTCACGGGACTATAAGTGGTAAACACAGCTCACTGCGCTCACTGGAAAAGTTCAGCCTTCTTTCTAGGCTTTTCTAAACTGTCTCTCCCTCCATAAACTATTTTTAGAGCATGGAGCCTTTTGTTTATTTTTCAGAAGTTTACCGTTTCCCTTCTCAGGGCCAAAGTCACCTATTGAAGCAGGGAAGGGATACTACCGTTGTTGAGGGCCTACTCTGTGCTACATGGTGCGCTGGTTCTTTTGAAAGCATTTTCTTTCATTCTTACAACTGCCATTAGTTCCTACTGGGCAGCCAAGAACAGAAGGCTTGGATGTAATTTGCACGATACATTATTTGTGCGCTGATTTGTAAATGACCTGCACGAGGCCCCAGGGCTGCAGAGCGGTGCAGGGTAGATTCAGACTGAGGTCGATTTGGCTCCGGGTCCCAGATTCTCCTACCAGCTCACTTGCTTCCCACACAAGCAGGCGACACTCCACACTCTTACTGAGTCGCACTGGTTCCCACGCTCACGTTACTGCCTGGGATCCCTTCTGGGACTCACCGTAGACTTATGGATTCGAACCTGGAGGACATTAAGGGGGTTATATTTGGGAGTGAGGCCCTGAAGGAAGTGATTCTACTGTCCCTGGGGGCTCTCAACCGGAATCACCGAGGCTGAGAGGCAGGCACAATGGAAGGGTGGAAAGCGCTACCTGACCTCCACCGGAAGAGGACGACCACAGAGTGGCCCCGAGAGGCTCCGTGTACAGCACACAGTTGGGGGGGCCACTGCCTGGAATTCCCCCTTCATCTCCCACAGTCCCTGGGGTGCACGGAGATGCCACACTGGGTCTGCCATGCGGCAGAGATGGTGACGACTATGGGAAACTGTTCATCGCCTGCACTGCCTCGTCTGGAGCCTCAGGGGGAAGCAGCACCGGAGGCACCTCTGTATAATAACCAGAAACTCGGCGCCTTAAAAACAGTCACACCCCTCGGGTGACACAGGCTGGCTTTAGTTCCCACTCGGTCTAATGTGATCACCAGCACGAGGTCAGTGGAGGTGTCCTGTATGGCCCCTAGGGTGCTGGTGGCGGATGCTGGTAAATTTCACCAGGGCTGTTCTGCAAGGCAGGAAGGAAAGCAAAGGGTGACCCAACAAGGAGGCCCCAGGTGTCACCAGGGATAAGGAGTCATTTGCCTGTTTTGAGACAAGAAAAATGGCAGCTCTGAGAGGGAACACAGCTGACCAGCACCCAGGCTCTTGGTTTCCCCACGCCGCTCGGCCTGCGCCGGGATGCCTACAGTACGTTGGTATGGTCCAGCTTCCCTGCGGCTCTGCAGCCGTGTAGGATTTATGCCCAGGGCCACGAAGCCATCTATTCTGGAAAAACTAACCCTGCTCCCACAACTTCCCCAATCAAATCTGGGATTTTGCTAATTAAGTTAAACAATTTGCACATTTCTAATCTCCCTGTGGGTGCAAGGGTTAGTGGTTTCTAACCAGCTGGCAAGACGTGGACTGACCCTTCCGGCGGGGGCAGAAAGCTCCGTGACCCTGATCACAGAGGGAAGCACTCTGTCCTGGAACGCCCCTTAAATCCAGACGTGAGTTCTCCTCCCTGGTTCTCCAGACTCTCCTCCTGTCGCCGTGACACCCACAGCGGGTGGGGTATTTTCGCTGTGATGACGTCAGCCTGTTCCTGATAGGCTTGCAGTAAGTGACACGCTGGTGGTGGCGTCGGGCCTTGCACTGTGTCTACAACAGCCATGCTTATAGCAGCCCTTCCTTCCCAGCACGCAGCCCGACCGCACAGGGCTGTCCTGACAGACCTGCAAACAGGCTGTGACAAATACTCTGCCTTCTAATTTGCACCTTGGCTGTGAGCAAAGAGACGAGCGGTCTGGCTACGGGAAGGAAATGAGACTTGGCCTGGAAGCCAATTTCTCTATCATTTAAGCGTTCGTTCTGCAAAGTATCAAGCAGGGAGAACACAGAGAGATGCTTGCTTCCTCTCTCAGACCTGCCAGGTCCATTTGAAACCTAAAGAGCCCTGTGCACGCGGCTGTGGGCGGCTGCCAGGCCCTGGAGACGCAGCCCACGGCCGGGGCTGCTCTTCACTCGCAAGTCGAAAGAGATGCTGGTAAGGAACCAGGAGCATTTCAAAATCACACCTTTCCTCATTTCTACCTCTGCACACTAACGCTTTAAGGATTAAAAAATAGTACCATGAAAAACACACTCACTTTTCATTCCCGTTTATTTTCCATGCCTCATCTCAGGGCTGTTAAAACACAACTTCGGTGAAGAGAGCGCCTTTCTCATGTTTTTCCTACCAGGACTCACCCCACGTGGAAAGGTCAGAGCAAGTACCAACTAAGACGGGTAATGAGTTCTAAAGAGTGATGCCGTTTTAACAAATCTTGACATTTGCTCTTTCTGTGAATCAAAACTTTGAGAAATCCTTCGCGGGCCTCCCGACGAGCCTAAGCCCCCATCTCAGCACAGACAGGGGGCGTTCCTGGGCTAAGAGCCCCGGCAAGGCAGGCCCCCTGAGGCGGTGCAAGCTCCCACGTCCCGTCATCCACGGGCAGTTCCAGAAAACACTTCGGAAATCTGGCCTCCCCCACCTCACTTGATCTCTTAAAAATATACTTAAAGAATTCAAACCATTAACTAGTTTGTATTTTTGTGTTTGTTTTATTTTCTGTGAACATCCTAACTGCCAGCTCAGCCTTGACCCTTTTCCAACTCAAACCCGAAGGAGGCGCTGTCCCCTCCCAGGGTTGCCAAGTCCCTGAAGGAAACAGCTCAGGAGAGCGGGCTCCGCGGCCAGCAGGGTCCCGCGGGGCCCAGCCTGTGTGACTCTCGCCCTGGGCGCGAGGCTGCCGTTTCACGGGAGGGCTGTGGAATGCATGCCTCCGCGAGGTTGGAGAGCCCGGGAAATTATAAAGGAGCTCAGCACTGCTCCAGGTTTTACCGTGACTCAGCTTGGCTGCACAGGACCCGTGGGTTCCCGTCCAGCACAAGCCCAGGAGCACAGCGGGGCGGCCTGACTTCTGTACGAACCATGCCTTTTATTTTCTGTGTTCTGCTGCTCTGACATCGAGGGGCCTTGCTGACTCTGGAGGGACTGCCCCTCCCAGAGCTGGCTAATTCCTAGAGATAGCCATCACCTCCCCTGGGAGAGGGCCCTTCATGTGCGAACCACAAACCAGCACCCTCACCGCAGCCACCTCCTCCACCAGGCTCTCACCCTCAGCCACTGCCGCCTGCCCTAGTCACCCCCAGCAGCTCCCAGACAGCTCTGGGGAGAGCCCACGGAAATCATTCCAACCAGCCAGTCCTAAACCTGCTTACCCTGTCTCCCCCACTCCTCCTGCAGATAACGGCTGCCGTCCCCCTTCTGTCCTCATTCCCTCTGCCTCCTGACTGACCCTGGTGCTGCCCTGGGGGCACGTCCCCTCCTGGGATCTGTGAGTGTAAGAAACGATGTTTTCAATGGCCATTACTTCCTCATCTGTTGGTCCGGCCATGCCTACACAGAGATAAAACCTGCACTTGCAGACACAGGTGTTGGTATGAGATATGGTAACTCTGGGCATCTAACGTCCTTACCTGACCAGCAATGTCTTCTCCTGACAGGGAGAAAGGGGCAGAATGGCCCCAAAGGGCCCTCAACGGCAGCCTTTCTCAGCCAGGCTCCCATCTGAGCCACAGGACAAAAACACACCGTGAGTGACTTTCTTAAACTGTCCTGAGGATGTCCTGACTCGCCTCACTCTAGGTGCAGAGAAGTCAGTTCATGACAACCAGCAGCGTCTTGGGGCTTCAGGGCTTAATTATCTTAGAGAATCTTCTTAGAGAAGATTCGAGTGTAAAGTTTAGGCATCAGTGAAAACCCTTCCTTTTCCCCACAGCACACACAAGCCTGTGTCCCGGAAGAAGGTCACCTTGCCGGGAAATGACGAAGGTGTGCGGTGGGGTGTCCCCCGCCTGGGACCTGGGCAAACGTTACCTGTGCCCGGTGCTCCCCGACGGCGAACTGGATCACAGCGACGCCGGGGCTGTGGCTGTCCTCGATCCTCTCCACAGTGCTGGAGTCGATCTTCAGGTCGTTGCTGATCTCTGCGCTCTGGATGAAGTCCTCCGTCTTCAGGTCCTCCACCTTCTTTAGCTCCCCATTGGCCAACTGGATGATGGAGCCTTTCATGAAGTAGGGGGGCAGCGTCGGGGGAGCGGCTGCCGGGGACGCCACGGACTGCACCACGGGCAGGTGGATCTGGGCCTGCACCATGGCCGGGTAGGCGGCCTGGGTGACCAGGGCCTCTGGGCTGAAGCTCTCACTCTTGGGAAGGGCGGTGGAGACGAGCGTATGAGGCACTGCTGCAAACTGCGGTGAGGACGTGACCATTGCAGAGGCTGCTCCCGACCCGTCCATGTCCGCGCTGCCGACCGGGATGAGCAGGGGCTGGGAGCCGGGGATGACCAGGTGCTGGGGCAGGCTGCCGGCGTAGGTGATGGCCTGCTGCTGGCTGCTCAGGTAGCCGATGACAGGCGCCTGGGTCCCTGCGTAGAAGGCTGTGGCTGGCAGTCCAACTGGGAGTGGCTCCGAAGTGCTATGTGTGGTCTGAATGACCGTGTGGGGTGACAGCGTGGTGACGGCGGCGGCCTTCACGCCTTCGGGGCCCAGAGCTTGTTGGGGTGAGAGTGCGTAGGATCGGTGTCCGGGCTTCCCTAAGTGCAGGCCGCTTTTGTCGTTGAGGGTGGAGGGGGAGGCCTCGCGGTGCGTGACCTGCTGCACTTCCAGGTCGGACACGGGCGTGTTGCTGTTGGGCAGGACCATCACAGAGGCCCGGACCCCCGAGGAGTCCCGGCTGCCATAGTCGGAGGGGCTGGGGTGGACGACCACGTGCCTGGACTCGTAGGGGTGAGGAGCTGACTTGCTGCCGGCCTTCACCAAGCCCAGGTCGGCGGAGGTGGGAACCCCATACCTCCGGCCCTTCTCCATCTCCCCGTTCAGGATCTCCTTGGCCTGCATGGCCTGCTGCAGCCGGCTGCTCTCCGCTTTCTTGGTGGCCTCCCGAGGAACATAGTGGCTGCCAGAGTCGGTGTATTGCACTACGACCTGGGGGGAGGGCCCCAGGGTGATCGTGTGTGGGATCATCGTCTGGTGGGGGTGGAGGTGCACGGGGATGGCCGGGGGAGAGGCCGTGCGCCCGGCGTTCTGCGGAGAGCTGGCAATGTGGACGTACTGGTTCTGTTGGGTGGGTGGTGGGGACCCTGGTGCGATGAGCCCCGGAGTCCTGCCTAAGTGCTGCTGCTGCTGCTCAGCCTTGTGTCCTGAGGCTTGGGTCAGACTGCCCATGCTGGCCAGCAGGGTGGAATAGGCCTCCAGCTGGGAGCGCTGGGATGGAGTGGTGGCCCCCACAGCAGAGGCCACTGCACTGGTGACGGGGCTGGCCGTTGGGGAGATCAGCTGTGAAGGGATAAACCCTGTGTACGGCCCGCTGTATTGGGAAGACCCAATGAACTGGAAAGTGTGCGGCAGGTGGGCATACTGCACGGGCGACACCGGAGTCCCTGACTGCGGGGGAGGGTACACTGTGGGCAGGGTGGTGGTCGCTGGGACAGACCTGGGTGCGCTGGGTGGGGAGTAGTCCAGCCCCGTGGATAGCGCTTTGTGTAAACCTATTCCCTGTTGTAAACCAAGCTCCACCGAAGTCCCTGGGCCATGCCTCCCACCCCCGTGACCTCGGCCACCAGGGTTGCCCGAGAGCCATGCCACGCCCTCCGCCCGGTGGTTGTCGCTGGGCAGGACCGTGGCCTTCTCCTCCGAAGGCCGGCTGGTGGCGGGGATCTCGCGCTTCTTGGGAGGCAGGCATTCGTTGCTCCGCTCTTGGTTGGATTTCATTTTTCGCCGTCCCCCCTCCACGATGACTATTTCACTGTCTGGCTGGCTCTGATTTTAGTCTGATAAATGGAAAGTCACATTTGATTTCTGTAGGGGATCCAGGCTCTTCATGAGGAATCATCTCCCCGTGGGTGCAATCCACCAGCAGCAGCTCTCGACTCTGGGAAAAGGAAGAAGGTAGTGACAAGGGAAGAGGAAAGGGAAGAGAAAGGGAAGGAGGGAAAAGAAACCAAGACATCAGCACCGGAAGAGGACACCTTTGGCAAGACTACGACTAGGCTTTGGTTCAACGTGAATTCTGAAAGTGCGACTCTGGCCCAGCACTAAAACCCGTCAACAGTGGCCATGCTGGGTATCGTACCAGGAAGGTTTTCAAGACATCGAGAAAGTCAGTCTTAAAGCAGATGCCTTTTCGTGAAGTTAACTCCCCTAAGCTATTTCTCAATACCTTGTCCCCTTTTTTTTCTCTTTTCTTATTAGGGGGGCAGAGAATGTGTTTCTTCAATTTCCTTTTCAGAAATGCTGGCCCCATCCCTCACTCTTCTCTTCTTTGCTGGACAATCGAATGAAACCTACAGGGAGGGTGACATCAGTGAAGGTCACCCGGCCCTGCCCTCAGAGCCAGCTCTGGGGAGGAGCAGGTTAGGATTGGGAGCCCTGAACTGACTGCACCTTCTCTCTGAACCCCCATCTATCAGAACCACGACTCGAAGACTCCGCCTGACCCTGCGTCCACCCTAACCGGACACACGCACACCAACTCAGCAGAGGCAGCCAGAAATAGTCCTGTTCTCTACAAGTCTCCAAAGAATTCCCAGTACTCACATGATAACAGAAAACCAAAAGAAATCTGAGACAGTTAAAAAATGAATACGGTCACAGCTTTTTAAAAAATGCGGGAATCAGGCAGGTGAATTTAAGGTTTCCTTAATGATGTTTACACGCTTGCTTCATCCCTCTTCCTTTCCAAGTGGCTTCAGAATTTCCTCCTCACACCCCCTCCTCCTTTCTCCTTGGAAAGAGCCAGCCTGCCCCTAACTCTGGAGATGGAACTTCTTTCAGACCGATGAGACCTGTATGTTTGAACTCGACCATGCTAACAGTGAGCCTGCAGCCACTTCTCATGGACACATATCTCAGTCTCCCAGTAACCACTGAACTCGAGTCACCATGACTGTGGGGCAAACAGATGCCCACCTGGCAAGAGGCAGAGCATCAAGGGAGCCTACAGGAACCAGACTAACAAGCGGCAGATGTGCGCGCCCCCTACAGGCAGCAGCTGGAGACACGCGCAATGTCACGCGCTGTGATCCTGGGCAGCTGTGAGGTCCGGCTGCGGGTTTCAGCCGTCCTCCTACCCAGACCTTCTTTTCCACGGTCTTATTTTAAAACAAACACACTCAGGCAGCAGCCTTCAGCATCTGATCCTGGTATCTGAAGCAACTGCCATATCCCTAGCATAACACGCTTTACACTCCCCACCCTAGCCTATAATTGTATTTTATTTTATTTTTTTTTACCAATGATGTAGGTCCTTGTTGGTTTTACTTGAATATCACCAATGAACATAATGACCCAAGACCAAGTTCCTCAGCCACAATGGGGATAATGAAGGCAGAGGTTTAGGCATTTGGTGTCTCAACATCAAAGGACATTTCGGTTAGAATAGGGCTCCTCATATGACAAGCAGCGCTTTAGAGACTAGGACAGAAATAAAAAATAAAAAGACCTAACATATTAATGCTGAAGAAATACCTGTGTCAAAGGAATAATGTCAATTATTTCTCCCCCTGACCTACAGCCTTTTAAAGTCCTAGGTAGCGTGTTCTGTGTAACCTTCTCTTACAAAGAGTGTGCCACATAATTCACACTCAACACTCCCAGATCGATTACAAGAGTGCTGTTTTCAAAACAAAGACAGAATAAAATTAAACTACAAAGCATCAAAAACAGTTGCCCTTTTTGGCTGCTTAGAAAGTACTTACAATGATCTTTTATCTATAGATTTCCAGAGTCATCCTTAAGAAAGAGAATGTATGAGGGTCCACAATCCCTTACCAAGTAGCAAATAAAAGTTATATAGATCTCCTCAAAACCAACTGTTCCATACGCCCCCTGCTGGCTCCGCAGTAGCATTGATCCAATAAAAACGGGATTTCATTAAGGATGTTCACGCAAGAGTAGTATGTCAGATTCTGAAATGAGTATATTTGCATATAGTAGGCCCAACCAGTAAGGGAATAGGTTAATTAGCCCAAGGCAGCTTCAGAGAAGAAAAAGCAACAGCAGAAAAGTCCTTTCAAAGCCAAGCAAAATGCCAAACACATTCAGAAAGAGGTCTATTAGCAATGCAAATGTAAGCTTGCCCATGCAACCGAATGCACAACATACAAAACTAGAAAACCTCTTTGAAGGTACTTTTTAAAGAACCCAGTTTGAAAACGAATGCTGACTCAGTTCTCAGTAGTGTCTTGGTTTATTTACATTGTTTATTTAGAACTGGTCTTCTGCTAACGGACCCCTAAGACTCGGCCTTGACAAACAACTCACATATATTCTTTTTAAAAGTTACTCAGTGATAAACATCTTTTCCAGGAAATAATAATAATGATAAATTAAGGATATAAAGATTAACACTGAACTGGAGCGAAAAGGATTGATAAAAACTTCAACCCATCCTCCTCCCACATTTCAAAGGACCATGTCTACTATTACTAGTGCAGCACCAAGGAGACTTGGATCTAATTCTGGAGCTGGTGCCCCTTCCCTGTGCTCCATTATCTCTAGGTACTGTCTGTATCTCCCATCAGGGAGAAGCCCTGTGAGGGTAAGGCTTGTGTCTTGCTGTCTTTTCAGTGAACCACCAGAGGGAGCCACAGGTTACCATCCCGTCCCTGGTACACTGGGTGACTAGTCAATGGATTGAAAAGAAGGAAGAGGTAAACTACAAAGGTAGAAAAATACAGAGAAAGGGACAGGAAGAAAAGAGGAGAGTGGAATTTCTGCATTGAGGGTCCCTTTCCAGCTGCAGACAAATGGCCTCCGTCCCCAGCTGTCTTCTCAGGGCTGAAACACACCGCCGATTCGGCTGGGGCCCCGAGGAGTTCACTTCTGGATGTTCCCACCACAACAGAAAGATTTCTTCCCAACATGGAGCCACACAAGGGTATACAAACACTAAGTTACAAAAGAACCACAAGTGCAGATCACACTGTTCAAACATTAGAAAAGCTAAAATGGAGGGGAATGAGATGAACTGGGATGGATTCATTTAGGGTCTACTACATACAGTTTGCCTGATCATAACTTTTCTGAATACATGCATCTTCGGCATCTGTATGCCTACATCTGTATCTATCTCTCTATCACTATTAACAATTTAGCTCAGTGGCCTGAGGCCTTGCTGTTCCAAGGGTGGTCCTCAGACCAGCAACACCAGCACCCCCAGCAGCGTTAGAAATGCAGAACTTCAGGCCCCGACCCAGGCCTCCTGACTCAAAATCTGTGTTTTAACAAGATCCCCGGAGGACTCATAGGTACAGCAAGGTTTCAGAAAGGCAGATGTAAGACTAAGCTTTCTACTCATAAACTCCCCAGCACAGTAAACATCTCTAGCCTCTTTCCCCGGGAGTAGGTGCTGGGAACCAGACCAGAGGCTGCATGTAAACAGAACTGACGAACAGCCTTGGAGAGAAGTGGCTAACACTGAGGTGACACTCAGCTGTTCCCTTCGTGTCTCCTAGACCAATACGGTTCTAAACAGGTGCTCCAAAGTAGAGAAAAACACACTTTAAAAAGGCCATTATCATACATTTTATACAGGACTTAATCCTCTCCAGGAAGAAAAACAAACTTGAACAAAGAAAGCCACACATATCTTTGCCATAATAATACAAAAATGTTTTCCCCATTACCATGGATTTAGACTGTTTCAAAGTGATCAAAAAACAAGATGCCCAGCCCTGGTCCATGTGGCTCAGTTGGTTGGGCGTCATCCCAGGCACCAAAAGGTCACGGGTTAGGTTCCTGGTCAGGGCACACACCAGGGTTGCAGGAGGCAGTTGGTCAATGTTATTTCACATCAATGTTTTTCTCTCTCTATCCCTCTCCCTTCCTCTCTCTCTCTAAAAATCAATAAAAATATTTAAAAAAAACAAACACAGAAAACCCCAAGATTCATCTGTGTTCAGAGATGCAGGAATGTATCCCCAATTGACCCGAAGTCCTGTAAATAACAACCAACTGCTATGAATGGAAGACACTCCTATAACTGGATGCACACAGTCCTAAAGATGCATTCCAAGGTCACGGCAACAGACTGGGTTGCTCTGCCTACCACACCCAACCCTGAGGCTTTCTCAGTTTGAGTGACACCCACGGCTGTCTGGCATGTGTGTCTACGCACAACAGAGGCACGGTTGCAGTTTTAAAGAGAAAGGAATGCGGACTGATGAGGTTGTCAGTTCTGTGAAAACCATCTGACCATTTAGGAGACAGAACACCTGGACCCGGTGGGAGAGGTCGCTAGGACATGTCGAGGACTCCAAGTCCTGACATGCTGATATCCTTCCTGTTTCATTTTATTACCATAAACTGGAATATTTATGTGGTGTGCTGGCAGAAGCTACTTTGTTTAGGTTAAATATTGAAACCGGGCCCAACACCCTGACATCCTTGGGGTTTCTGGGATGGAGAAAGGGGGGTGGGTGACAGCATAATTAGATACTTTCATGGCTGACTGACCAGGAATGTCCCGGAGAAAGTGGACCACACATTCACTCATCACTTACTTTGTTTCCAGCATGAACAGTGCACCTCAGTTGTTCAGTGTCAGCATGGAGCTAATGGCATGCCAGGACTCTAATTGCAGGTCTATTCTGTTCAACATTTTATTAGTGTTTTGGCTTTCATATTCAGAGGTAACAGAAGGCTGGAAGGGATGCTTAGTATATTATTGAAATTAATATTCAACGATATCCTCAGAACCTGGAAGTGATGGCACAAAACCAAGAAATGTAAGATTAATGAGGAGAAATGTAAAAACCTGCCCTTGGTTTCAATAGCTTAATTAATGGAGTAGAGGAGTTAGAGAGATGGCTGGCTTAAGAATGGTTCCAGGAAAGAGCCCAGGAATTTTTTGTCGGACCGTACACATTCAGT